CTTATATTGGATTAAACGGTGTCAGATGGCAATGGGTGATCACAACTCACAGGTCAATTACCACACTTGCCGAAGCGTCTGTTTATCTGGTGCGGAGAGTTGACCGCTCAAGTTCAACCTTTCGCTCTTCGTTAAAAATATCTTCCAGGTATTAATTATTGCAAGATGGAATAAACGAAAGATGATCCTGATTCAGAGGATGATTTGCATCTGCATTTCTCACAACACCAGCTATTCTCGTCCGCTGTTCCTCACTGATTTTCTTTTATCTATCTGATCACTCTCCCCAGGAAAATTGTGGGGCATTCGAGTTTCTTTGACCCGGAGCGTATGTATGTCTTCGATGAAACCCGTTTTCGTACTTAGCTTACTCCATTACTTTATCTAACGTTGTATCAAACCCGCGGATGACCTGTTATGATCGATCTATAGGATGAAACGATATTCGGACATGTTCCTTTTATATCTGGGTTGAAAGCTTTGGGGGTCGGTATTCTGCTTTCCTTACTATTCGAATCTCGGATAATCTTTTGCTGGAGTAAAACCGTACTGTCCGACGCAGATGCGCTTAAGTAATTTCACACGTCAATCGCTGTTCATACAAGGGACTAGATGAATACGTCTATAAAAAGAACCTTCTGTCTTTCACATTTGACTCAGTTACTTGTGAGTAGTGGTGTGGGATAATTGACCTTTTTATAGATTTGAGCTGACTATGCTTCGGACTTTACCTTCACGCACAATCCTCAGTTCATCGATTCAGCCATACACTCGGAATCACTGGGCTCGAGTTTCGCTTTTATTGGAGCTCATCAGTAGTGCATATCCACCGTCCCGTCCGGGATTTGAACTTCGGACCCATCGCATGGAAGGCATGTGCGTTACCACTGTGCCAACCAGCTCATACCATGGTTGAACCAAATTACCAATTCATGTTTGTTCAGGTATCGTCTTTAGTGATCGTCAGTTCATTTTGACCAGACAGCACCGAAGGGAGACACTGTTAATTCCAATCGAAAGTCTCCCACTAAGTCAGGACTTCTATGCAGGTACAGACTGATTTGCCAACGAACCTACAAGGCTAGATTGATGTTTCGCATTTGACTCATTTGACATTTTACCTTCCAGTAATTTTTCTTCAAAACATTACTTGTCAATACATATCTTTTACACATGACCCGTGCGAAGGTTACAAAAATTTCTCCAACAATAAATCAATTTAGATTATTACGCACACATACAAACGCGTACGAACCCAAGTCTGACGGTAAGTTTTTTTCCTACATTGATAGGTCCCAGTTTCGGTTATTTCCGAGCTTAAGCAGACAATGCACTGCACTTTGTAATTGCATCAGTTTACCTTTTCATATTATTTAATACTGTGGTGATTGTTAATAAAAAAACCTAGAATTCATCTAGTTAACAGTGGTGAAGGAGAAGTTTTATAACTTCACATGGTTTGAAACAGCTGGAAAATAGACAGGTGTGTGGTGCACCCAGTAAAGTTTGGGTTTCGATCCGTAGTTGATTCAACAGGTTCCGGCAGATGATGAAAAAGTTACCCCTTGCTTTCTCACTTTGATTCATAGTTTTTTCATTCTTAATACAAGGAATTTCAAATTGTAGCTTTGTTATGTCCTAGTGCACGACTTCTCTAGAAAAAATACAAGGAAAAAGCGGTCCATTTATTTCTCCTTCACCTTGGATGCATAAAATGTCGCCAAGCTCTTTTCTCTTTTCCGATATAGATTAAGCTCTCAACTCCAAGCAAGTAGCGTTTATATGTACATACGCACACGCACTTACACCCTCAGACTCTTTAGACAACACTCACCTTTGGTAAATGCTGCATTCAAAATATCACGCAGCTCCGGATAGGCGATTACCCCAGATGGGCCGGCAACACCGTTGTATGCGATGTGGAGACGTTCAATGAGACTTTCATCATCTTTTGTTTTGATGGGGATGGTCTGAATCGATGCGATTGATGTTGGTGAAGGCAGAAAAAAGGTTAGGGTGACTCATGAAAATACGAGGATTGAAATAAGTGATGCTGGTGGAGAATGGGGACATATTACACCACGTGATACGGATGGATGCGGTATACGACATCATCACTTTCACTGTGGTTAAGTCATAAATGATTTTTTCTTACCCATTCGTCGTTTCAAGCGTGGACAATGGAAGACAAACCATCCAAGAACATTTTGAATCACTGATGTGTTAAGACCACCCAAGTTATCACGTGCAACTAAACATATTTAGACATTATTTCATATATATTCAAGTTAGACCGAAATAAGACAAATCTCTCAAGATGTAAACGCTCAATCTCCTCTTTTAGTGATTTGACGCAAGCTAACACACTAATATGGCAAGTTAGCTTGCTAATTCATGGATAATGAGCATGTACGTTCCCTATGAGCTACCGGCCCTGTGTTCAACTCAGCGGCTGGAGAAATTAGAAGTAATTTTAACATCTCGAAACATTATTTTTTCATCAGTATTGAGGCACTGGTCTAGAGTGCCTAGAAGACAGAGTTGAACAGCAAAGTATCTGCAGATCAAGCGCATCTGCTCTGTCAGATACTAATGTACAGATGGTTGTTTGGTAGATTGAAGTTTTATATTGAATTTTTGAAGAGTTCGGTGGGATCCGAACGCACGCATGGATGCTATCTCCACTTTTGTACAGCGTACGCTCTACCAGCTGATCTTCGAGGCTACATCGATAGCACTGATCTTTTCACAATCGAATCATCCAGCCAGCTTATAGAGGCGTATGGCATCCACCAGGTAGCATGTAAGCCGACTGCCATGACAAATGTAGTTTCATAGAGTGCTCAGAAAAGGGAGCGAATTCTATATCGACCAGTATTTCACATGAGTTGAAGTGACCCCGGCGTATGATTTCATCTAGCAACGTCCATGAGAAAAAGGTATAACGCACTTGACTATAATGAGTGTCCATTGAACACTTCGTTGTTCCATTCGCAATAATAATTATACGAGAAAGACATCGTATCCAATCGTTTCAATGCATCTGTAGTCCGAGTTACGTTGCAGGGATAGCGCGTCTTTCACAATAATGGAAGATGTCCCAAAGACACTGGGGTTTCGCGGTGGTAAGTTGCGAAACAGCGGGAGTGCACGATGATGATGACATCGCACCGAAAGCCTAATGAGATGATATCTTGTAAATTATCCAACCCCACATTATAAACCACCCCACCATCTTTTCCTCATGTTTTATTCTGTGCTCTTGCCAAGCTTATCATTACACATATGATAGATCCTTCAGCCCAATGACCATGAGACTAAACTGGTCTGTTAAAACATCAGTTAACGGAAGTGGTGTCCAAATCGTGATCAAAGACACTGCATCCGGAGAGTTATAAATAGCCAAGTGTCGACAAATGACCAACTGAACGAGATTATCATCATCATCATCATCATCATCATCGTACAGCGTAATATAGTGAAGAAACCTTTACTGATCGCTGCCAAACTCGCAATGTATAGAAACTTAGTGATAATATTTCAGGTGGATAGGGCTATTATCTACTTCGAGGGAGAAGGAAGTGAACCTCTATGGTCACAGTACACTTGGAGATGCGTGCGGTTATTTCCTTTGATAAGTTACTGTCATTGGTCACACAAATACCTTAGAGGGATAAGAAATCCAGTATAAATAATTTCTCCTGATTTAATTTAAAAGCGGGAGTATGAAGACATCCAGTATTGTAGTATTGTGATGGAAGGTGGTACAAAGAAGGCCCCGGTTAGCGAAGGAATCAGGAATGGGGTTCATAAAACCAGACGCGCAGATGTAGCAGCTGGAAGTACTTCGAGAGACAATGTTAACTATCACCTGAAACGAACTAATCGACAATTACAGACCCACAGACAACTCGCAGCTAGCCAGAAAGATATACACCGAATGCCACTAGGTTGGAGCTGTCGATCGACGTATCTCTCGATACGATCGGGTTAAACCAGCCAGAACGGCACGCGGAAGAAGAGGCAACGTACGTGCCAAGTGTGGACCAAAACCAGCAGGGATTGACCAAAAGAAAGAGACATGAATCATCCTGCAGCGCGGTAAGAATTGAAGGTATATAATTGAACGCGTACACCGGTTGTTTTTGTAATTGGATCAATCAACGTTTTCCCAGGCAGCTTGCCTTCTCGCTACAGTATGACCTTGCATTTGAAAGACAAAAGTACATGCCGAAAGGCGTAGCAGCAATTTGAGTCTGTCAAGTGCGCTTTATGCGTCCTGCATTCATTCGAACAGACAACTGATATCATCTGCGTACCGCAAATCACACCGTCTTTTTCCAGCTGTCCATTCAATAGTGACATTTTGGAGACCATTCAGTGCTTTCTCCAGTATTTGGTCTTGGACGAAATTGAACAGGAATGGTAATTTAAGGCTTCCTTGATGAACGCTGCTGCTGGTGACGAACGACCTACTTATTTCGTTAACGATCCTCACTCGACCAGAGGTATACGATTAGAGTGACCTCATTAATTTAATTTACTTCTGGGGCATTTCACTTGAAGAAGCGAAACCATTAGAGCGTCGCTGTCAACTGAGTTCAAGACTCCTGTCAGGTCAGGGAACACTGCAATCAACAGTGGTTGTGAAGCATTTTGAGGAACCGAAGCAATGCATACCATGGCGAACACATCCACGACCAGGCCAGAATCGGGCTGGTAGTTCAGAGATATCGCTCTTTTATAAAGGAGTAAGATGGTGATCTATGATTGAGGCTAACAGTTTTGTGAAGATTGGGATCAAACTGATCTATTGGTGGTTTGCGCAGTGGTTACTACATCCCTTCTTGGAAATGGGAACGATTGTATGTGCTCTTGCAACCAGATGTTGTGCATTATACCAGTAGGAAAACTTGAAGTGTTATCGATCCCCCCTTATCTTGAAAAGAGTGGGAGGAAGCCCATCCTGCTGCTTTTCCCGTCTTCAGGGCTTGAATACAACACAGTACTTGTGTTTCTGCCAGAGGATAGCACGACACAGCCACATAGCTTCAATTGCAGCTGAATTGGTCCGGCGCTAGTCGTTGATCACTATTGTGCATAGCTTGCCAACTTTTGTCACAGATTGTTTCACCTACCTCTCTTGTTGCATGTCAGTTGGAACGGCTGTTAATTATTTCCTGATGTAGTGGCTACTTCCATTTCCCCAGCTGCTGTTGTCCACCAGTTTTTATAGTCCTTCTTGTGGCTCTTCATGAACTGACATTTCAGACACCATCGACCGCTGTTACGTTAATTTAATGTTGGGATTTGACATTTCTTCTCCATCCGGGCTCTACTGATTTGAGAGATATCCCATGCGCCCGACGGGCTTGAGATTCAGACCCACATGCAACATTTATTGCGGATTGCATTGTTCGGTCATTCTGGCCCAACTGCTCATCTATACCATCACGTTGAGGCGCGCTTAGCTTACGCACTAGCTCTAAATCATGGTGTGCACATACTGCTGGGACAGACAATCGATGATGAACTAACAGAGTTTGCTGGAGTTGTTGCCATCCATTGAGTCGGAGATTGAATTGCATAAAACCTAATTCGCAAGGTTTTGACCCTGTTATTGAATACTATACCTACTCGGCGCTAACCAACCGAACCGACTTGGTCATCGCCTGATATGCGAAGGACATAGCTCGAGGAAAAACCCGGTGCTCTAAAGTGGCCCATAGTAGTATGATCCTGAATTCGCGTCTCCGAAACTCAGAAATTATCTTTCCATACGGGTTCAAATGTACTTGTGAGGCAAGCTTGTTGACCCATCTGAATCAATCATCACGTTGAAGGCCCCCTAGATCCATTGATTGATAAGGCTTCAG